ATGTACGGTGTACATAGCCTTCTTGCCAGGACGAGGAGGGGGGGGGGGGGGTACGACCAGCGGGGGACGATATTCCCAATAAATGTTGAAGGTCAGCAATGACAATAACGTATGCGACTAGGGCACTGAGCATACTTATTTATTCAACACAACATGACTCAGCAGCGACATAAGATAACCCCGCTTACCGTCAAGGAGGTGTGTGTGTGTGTGTGTATGTGTGTGTGTGTGTGCGCGCGCACTGCTCATGCGTCTGTTCTTGATTTCCTTGACTTTTCAGATTCAGATTACCATGCTAATTCAACTTACCACTTTAATGAGATGGATCTGGTTATTGCTCCGAATGCTCTTTCTTCCCTGCAATATAAAACCACGCATGTCTGCCCCAAAGGTACCGAGCACATCAAAGTGGCTGATCTAGAGCCAATATGGACAGAATTACAGAACACGCCTCTTCGTCATATTTCATTTCTACATGGCATCTTCGGCAGTTCGGTAGGTTTATATTTGGAGAAGAGTGTCCGACAATGGTTTCAATTAACAATAAAGCTTACACAATATCCGTATTAGTTGGGGTCAATTGACCCTTACGAAATTAAAGGGGAAGTTAAGGCAAAAATTAAAATTTCACCAGTTGTAGTCTTCGGGGTGCTGAGTCGAATAGTCTTGGTCCGAGAAAGCTGAGACGCTCCCTTCCTACTTGAATCCCAATCGAACTCGCGCACTTCCTCCGAAACTGGGTGACTGCGCCCTACTAGATGGGGATTTGTATGCAAAATGTCACTAAAAGCGCCGTTTCGTTCTTATAAAAGCACGGATGACCGCGATTGGCCCATATGTTGTAGTCTTTTGGACGCTGAGTCGACTGGTTTTGTTCCGAAAAGGCTGCGATGCAGCGTTCCTCCTTTATTCCCAATCGAACATGGTTGAACAAGTGGTCACGTGCTCCTGCGTACACCAGTCAGCTGGTCACCGTGACTGCAGGGTACAACTTACTAGCCTGTTTGACCTTTTTTGGGTGCAGTCCTGTCACTCGAGTTGAACCTTGGTGTGAAAGTTGTCGCCTGCTGGCGTGGTGACCAGGTGATTTGGGCACCCAGGAGCACGTGACCACTTGTTCAACCATGTTCGATTGGGAATAAAGGAGGAACGCTGCATCGCAGCCTTTTCGGACCAAAACCAGTCGACTCAGCGTCCAAAAGACTACAACATATGGGCCAATCGCGGTCATCCGTGCTTTTATAAGAACGAAACGGCGCTTTTAGTGACATTTTGCATACAAATCCCCATCTAGTAGGGCGCAGTCACCCAGTTTCGGTGGAAGTGCGCGAGTTCGATTGGGATTCAAGTAGGAAGGGAGCGTCTCAGCTTTCTCGGACCAAAACCATTCGACTCAGCACCCCGAAGACTACAACTGGTGAAATTTTAATTTTTGCCTTAACTTCCCCTTTAAACCCCTTTGCCCCTTGTAGTAATACGTGCAAGTTTCGACCACAGGGGTTGGATGATTTCTTCGTGCACAGCCCTGCAATGTTTCGCCGCATCGAGCTGGGACTTTCCATGTGGGTAGCTGAGTTATCAAAGCAATGGGCGCACATGATTGAGGAGTAACATGAAACATTTTGGAAATCACAACTGAAACAAGGGCCTCGCTAAATGCGCGTATTGCAACTTTTCCTAGTGTCCCCAGATGCTTTTTTTTCGCATTTCGCTTGAGCTGTGCCCAAAAAGCACGATCCCAAATCTGTGAATATTCAGGAATTTTGACGAAATATATTCTAAAGCTGTGAGTTCATGTTTGGATAGTTAATAGGCAAGGTAATACTGGGTACATATATCGGAAATATGGAGTAGTTCCTAGCCATGTAGGGTTCGAATATTCCATTTTTGACAAGAATATAAGTCACACCTTTTAATACAGTACGCTTCAATTGCAAAGAAGATTGTGTGATTTACAATCAAGAGTTTACAATCGAGAGTGAATGCCTTAGTTTTTTATCCGCCGGCACTCATCCAAAGGCCATGTATTTTACACCAGCTCGGCTAGCATCCAACAGCCAAATATGGATATCCATATCAAGATTTTACACCCACTGGACAAGCATCCAACAGCCTAAGGTGGATATCCATATCAACGTTAAATGATGGTAGGGAAACAATTGTCCTAAAAAAATACCTGCCCACCCAATTCTTCCTCACTATTTCTCCTCTCTTACTCTATCATCTGTTATTGGGCACTGGCTAACGCGAGAATAAAGATTTGAAATGCGGGAGGTTTCGAGGAAAGAAGGACCAAAGGAACTTCTAATGTCTTTGCCTTGGAACTGCTGACCCGAAAACCCTATTCTTTGAATCTTGTTTCTGTTGGTGTCTGCAGCGAACATGGTCACTGTATACTGGAGAGCGGGAATGCTCCTGTGGTGGCCATAGTCGAGTTGGTAGATTGAGGTACGAGAGATCCTATGTACTACGGAGGCATGACTGGTACCTGCTCTGCAATGAACAACCGCCAGCATTGCTTTGCGGCAGTAAGTTTGCTCATAGGATGCAATGGCCGCACCACAAAGCGTTGTTGTTGCTGTGGTTTTCTTTATTTGAATTCGCTAGAACCAAACGGGGGAGAACTGTCCAGTAACAAGGTGGCGAATGGCACCTCTCTTGTTTGACACATGAAATGCCAGAGCTTTGACACATGCGAATCATAGTACATATTAGAAGTTTCTCCGCGTTGGCATCAATGCAATGTAGATATACACAGCATGTATAGCTTTCACATAAGCCGAAGCGACAACAGCCAAACAGGATATTGATGGCGATATAAAAAAACATACTTCCTCCGTGTCATCGAAATTGTCGCAGTTTGACTAGTGACTTGTCACTTGTTACTGACAACTCCATAAGCTAAGCCATTCAAAACTTATTACACAGTATGATAGTCTGAAGACTAGAGTAACGTTCCAGGACTGTTGGACTGAGAGTTTTCATGCAGAGATGAAGTCCTCGTCGTCGCTGATGTCAATGGACGCAAAAATATCGTTCCGGAATATTTCAAGGAAGGTTGAAAGTTGGTCACGCCTCATCTCAAACACTTTGACTTTCTCCACAGGACAAGAGCTGCTATGCTTGTCGTCTGCTAGCTCTGGATGATTTCTACTTCACCACCAAGGAAGCCTAGTAAGAATACACGATCGTTGCGAGGTCGATTGATTACCGTCGGCGGAATCACCTCGATCTTGAAATGAACTTTTTTTAGCCGTGGCATGCCCATTTATTTTAGCTGTGTGGTCACAGCTCATGCAGGTAAGTGTACTATCACGTCCAGCGCGCCCTCTTTTTCAGCATCACTGGTATACCATGGTACGGCACCTGCGCGTGCACCACTAGCGCTACGTGTAGAGTCTACACGGCTCTTGCAGGTACAATCATGTACTGAGTGTCTCAGCCAGAGCGACAAATTTTATCGCTGTTGCAGGCATTTAGTTTGCTGACCCCTCGATGTTTCTCCAAGCACTGCTACTTGTTCCACGAAGTCATTCTCACCCAGCTAAGGTAAAACAGTAATGAGGCTTGAGTGAATGGCCATAAGCACGAGAAATGTGCAGGCTGCAACGCCTGACTGATCTCAGCGAGTCGAAATTACCATCGCAGCGACATCAGCGAAGAAATTGCGTCTAGTACAAAAATTCCAGCTTCCAATAACAGAAAATAGAACTTTGCCGTCACCCTATACTGATGATTATCGCGTATGTCCGATTCCTTGCCTCTGGTACGAGTGCTGGTGAGTAAATACCCCGTTTTATATCAAAAGTCAAACTGCGACAATTTCGATGACGCGGAGGAAGTTTGAGATATAAAACGGGTGACGAAAATAGAAAAAACAATTAAAACGAGCAAACGAACTTGAATCTGCTGTTCATTGCATTTTAGTACTACCAGAACATTATGGACAACGAAAGTGATATACTGTAAATATACAAATTTTCGGCAGCTATTTAATTTCGGCTATATTCGGCACCGACCCAAAACGCCTAAATTAAAACGCCGATGAAATTTTTCACAGCATCTGTCGCACTATACCATGCCCTCTACCCCACGCCGAAAATAAATCGCCGCCGAAATGTCAAAAATCGCGAAGTGCCGAAATTTTGTATATTTACAGTAAATAGATTTTCATCCAGCACATGCGTTCAGTGGGAATAAAAAACTGAATAGAGTGGTTGTCAGTTGACTAACCCCCTGTTTCTTTACAATGGAGAAAGGAATTTTATCTATTTTCCTACTTCAATCAATCATTAGGAGAAAGAATATGTGTGCAGGAGTCACCGGGTGCAAGCCGCACAGTGAGGTCAATAAATTTGCACATGGTCAAAGAGGGCCCAAATGTCACACGGGCACTTGCCATGATGTGTGTGAGTTTATGTGCATGGTGCCATAGCTAGCGCTGAAGCACATACTATCTCACTGTTAATATGGTACTCCTTTCCTCCATTTCTGCACTCACAATCAGCCTCTCTCGAATTGTCGTGGCAAAAGAAGAGAGAAAACTTGGCTGAGAAAGATAATAATTTTGGTGTGTGGGGTTGAGGTCGGGTAAACAAAGAAGAGTTGTAACATGCCTTCGGAGGCAGAACTGTTTGCACGGTAGAGTATATGTTGTGTGAAACTCTGTGTTTCTAAAGTGGACTTGATCTGAGAAGAGGAATTTTTTTTCATAACTCAAGACTGAAAATGAGAGCATGTGGTGATGCTACACTTCACATTCATGACATTTCTATTTGATTTCAGTCTCTATTTGATTTCAGTTGCTCCACATGATGAAAGCACTAGTTTTCAGAAGCACTGCGTCTCAATTGGTTATTTTGAAAATTCACCTCCCCCTTTTTACAAGGTTTTGTGTGTGAGTGTGTGCGTGTGTGTGTGTGTGTGTGTGTGTGTGTGTGTGTGTGTGTGCGCGTGTTTCCACCTTTCTTGTAACCCAGGAAAGACTACTCGCAAGTCCGAAACTTTGTGCGGAGATTGGAAAGTTCTTGTGCACACCAAGACTTTCGAAAAGCTAACGTACGACAATGCCCTGGATGCATGCCGCAAGAACGTCGGGTTTTTCCTGCCAAGCGAGGCACTATGGAATAGCGTATTGATGGAAATGAAGACTGGCACTGGTGAATGCAGAGAGCTTGCCGCAACATTTGACCAAATCCCTCTCTGGTTCACACGGCATGGGAAAGAAAGAGACAGAGCGCTGTTTTCATCAATTTGCGTTGGTAAGTGGAGGCTATAATATGCGTGTGTTCACCTCATTGGCCTCGCTCGTTCCTCATTTCTTTTGTCCACTTGGCTTACGTGAAGACTAGCCAAGCTTGCTTGGAGATGTCAACGCGGACAAGCGTATAATAATTATCTGTGTACCTAAGCTTTCGAAAGGAGCAAAAGCGAGACCCAGGGCTAGACTATGTGTACAATATATACAATAGTTTATCAGGTGGGGTTTTAGGCCGCGGTCTCACCAAGTTCAGCCGTTTTTGGCTTGCGCCGAAAGTGGCTTGCGACTAGCCAGCTGACGGTCACACCAAAACTGGCTGATGCGGGCATCGCTATCTGTATTTTATTATGTGCAATGGTGGTGATCCAAATAATTTCCCCTGAGAATCACCTTACTTTGCCGATGATGAAAAATACCAGGCTTTGTTGCCGGACGAAGCGACACGTTTTCGAATTTGTTGATGAAGACGATACTGAGGAGGCCCTCCCTTCATTCGCAGCAAACTTTTTCAGTTTTTCTAAGATCCAGGCGCGTTTGCTCGTATCCTTTTTCATTGTCGTCTGATACCGCGGTTTTGCTTCATACCACAGCTCGACCAATTGGTGCTCCAGTCCCACGATCCAACTATCCATGGCTGACAACGAAAACCCTCAAACACTTCACACAACTACGGTACAATACAAGAGAAAAAGAAACTACCTGACTACAACAAATGTCAACTCAAGTTCTTCAACTCCTCTTGCACATTTGCCCTTCAGCCAAAATTATGCAGCCACTTTCAGCTTTTCAGCGCTTCCAAAAGGGCTGAAAGCTAGAAGTGTCTGGTGCCCCGATTTTCAGCCGTTTCCATGGAAACCTCAGCCGAAAAAAGCGCTTTATTTGGCTGAACGGCTGAATCGGGCTCGGTGTGACCCCGGCCTTAAGGGGATGCATGGCTGCATATGTGTAGGATGGCTGGTGCATATCATCCATGGTCATTATGTGCATGCTAAACCTAGGTGGAAATTTTTAGGGGGGGGGGGGCACGTGCCTCCCCCCCCCCCAACATGTCTCATTCGGGCCACGCACCTGCCAAGTCAGTACGTAAAGCTGTGGCATTCTTATTACAGTCAGACCTCGCTTATCCGGTCCTCTTATATCTGGATCCCGCCATCCAGAAGAAAATATCTAGGTACAGATTTACAGCATACGTAGTGCATCCAACATAACAAGTGTTCGGTTATCCGGTTCCTTCGCCTAACCGGATATTTTTGTGGAAAGCGGATGTGTAAGGTTAAAGAAAGGGCTGACTGTATTGCTTTTTTTTAAAGCTGATCATAATATCCAAACGAAAGAAGGCTCGGAAGCATTCCCACAATTTTACACATCCAGTCCAGGGATGAATTTATCCGGTATCGCATCGCAGTTTGCTACGCAAAATCGATCTACTGCTACTCAAAAATGACAGTGACACGCAGAAAACTGCCATACATACATGTACATCCTATCCATGCTTTTTGTAGCTTACGCCACAATTGAGATTTTGCATAGAAAAAACTGTTATATGCAAAAACATGGCAGTAAATTCTTCCCTGCAGTCCACAAGTCACTTCTCATAAGTTATGGAAAGTTTACTGTGAAAACATGCAGTCAAGCCCAGGGTTACCAAACAGAGGTTTGGAAGGCCAGGAAGGCTAGGGAGGCGTTGCTAGACAAGAGAAAAGTGCTAGGTGAGTATCGCGTCAATCCTACAATACATTGCGCACATTATTCCCTCCACTTCCCTCCAATATGCCACCGCCTCCCCCCCCCCCCCCCCGTGGTGCAGTATCTGATGGTTCTGTGGTATTCAGTAAATAAAAAGAGGAAGAAAAATAGGTGTACGCATCAACGCGGCAAGGCCCAGTCAGCACTACCTGTCGCAGACGTCGGCTGCTCTGGCTGGGCCATGTTGTTCGCGAAGGAAGTAACTCGGCGTCCTACTAAGCACTGGAGATGGCAATTAATACCCGGGACATCAAGCGCCCACGTGGCCGACCCCATCTCAGATGGATTGACAATATTAAAAATGATCTAAAGCACGCCAATATTGATATTTCTGACTGTTTTGAACTGGCTCTAGACAAGAAAAAATGGCTGATGCTTGTGGAAAAATGTGCTGCGCTTGCATAGTTGTTCTTACTGCAATACGTTCTAACAATAATGAGATGCCTTTTGTTGGCTCTTCTGCCTGGATTTTGTTGACAGATGCGTTAAGCCCATGGATCCTTCCATGAGTGACATGCGAACTGTAACTATTATCATTTTCCCGTTTGTCTCTTTCCCTCAAACCAGTTAATATTTTATGACTTGGGGCTCCCCGCGTGCTAGTTTGTACGTGAAGTGTGTGGGTTACAGTGAGGGCTGCGTCCCACCCGCCTGTGTGGATTCACAGGAAGTGTGAGTTACGAAGTCTGAAGAAAACGTTGAACGGTCTCTGCTGGGACGACGACTACACCATAGCTCAGTGGTTAGAGCATCGCTGGCTACAAGCGAGGGTCCCTGGTTCGAGTCCTGGTGGTGACAGTCAATTTTTTCTTCAGACTTTTCCCGTTTGTCTCTTTCCCTCAAACCAGTTAATATTTTATGACTTGGGGCTCCCCGCGTGCTAGTTTGTACGTGAAGTGTGTGGGTTACAGTGAGGGCTGCGTCCCACCCGCCTGTGTGGATTCACAGGAAGTGTGAGTTACGAAGTCTGAAGAAAACGTTGAACGGTCTCTGCTGGGATGACGACTACACCATAGCTCAGTGGTTAGAGCATCGCTGGCTACAAGCGAGGGTCCCTGGTTCAAGTCCTGGTGGTGACAGTCAATTTTTTCTTCAGACTTTTCCCGTTTGTCTCTTTCCCTCAAACCAGTTAATATTATTATTATTATTGAGTTAGGAAGTCTGAAGAAAACGTTGAACGGTCTCTGCTGGGATGACGACTACACCATAGCCCAGCGGTTAGAGCATCGCTGGCTACAAGCGAGGGTCCCTGGTTCGAGTCCTGGTGGTGACAGTCAATTTTTTCTTCAGACTTTTCCCGTTTGTCTCTTTCCCTCAAACCAGTTAATATTTTATGACTTGGGGCTCCCCGCGTGCTAGTTTGTACGTGATGTGTGTGGGTTACAGTGAGGGCTGCGTCCCACCCGCCTGTGTGGATTCACAGGAAGTGTGAGTTACGAAGTCTGAAGAAAACGTTGAACGGTCTCTGCTGGGATGACGACTACACCATAGCCCAGCGGTTAGAGCATCGCTGGCTACAAGCGAGGGTCCCTGGTTCGAGTCCTGGTGGTGACAGTCAATTTTTTCTTCAGACTTTTCCCGTTTGTCTCTTTCCCTCAAACCAGTTAATATTTTATGACTTGGGGCTCCCCGCGTGCTAGTTTGTACGTGAAGTGTGTGGGTTACAGTGAGGGCTGCGTCCCACCCGCCTGTGTGGATTCACAGGAAGTGTGAGTGACGAAGTCTGAAGAAAAAGTTGAACGGTCTCTGCTGGGATGACGACTACACCATAGCCCAGTGGTTAGAGCATCGCTGGCTACAAGCGAGGGTCCCTGGTTCGAGTCCTGGTGGTGACAGTCAATTTTTTCTTCAGACTTTTCCCGTTTGTCTCTTTCCCTCAAACCAGTTAATATATGACTTGGGGCTCCCCGCGTGCTAGTTTGTACGTGAAGTGTGTGGGTTACAGTGAGGGCTGCGTCCCACCCGCCTGTGTGGATTCACAGGAAGTGTGAGTTACGAAGTCTGAAGAAAACGTTGAACGGTCTCTGCTGGGATGACGACTACACCATAGCCCAGTGGTTAGAGCATCGCTGGCTACAAGCGAGGGTCCCTGGTTCGAGTCCTGGTGGTGACAGTCAATTTTTTCTTCAGACTTTTCCCGTTTGTCTCTTTCCCTCAAACCAGTTAATATTATTATTATTATTATTAAGAAAAACAGTGTAGCCGTGCAATGCAGGATACCACATTGCGACTCACTGGAATCCCACCCTCACCCCTGTTATTCATTTCATTTACTTTTGGGATAATTGTCAAAAGGATTTCATGCGCGGTTTGTATCTCAATGCCTAATATTTTGGGTACCAGTTTTGAAATAGTTCTGATCAACTCTTCCTATATATTCCTTTGTGTTGCGATTTGTGAATACCAGGAGCACGTCTGCCAGGTGGCGCAGTCTCCAGCCGCGGCATTCGCCGAGACGAAGGTGTCAACTACATTGAGGAGAGCAGTCATGTGAAGTGTCTAGATGGCTACCGGACATCATTGCGTGAGAGCATACCCGCCAAGCCATATAAGGGTATCTGGCAGAACACTGCTGGTTGCTACAGTAAGTTATCATATTCCTATTCTTCTTCTTATTATTATTTTTTACTCTGTTCACATAACCAGCTCGAAAGAATAAGGAAAGGCAACGGTACGGAGACTAGGGCAGAAGTGACAACTTATGACCCGGAGCTGCACCGAGACGCAGGAGTGATGGTGCGACATTGATGACTCTGCCGACCTGAGGTCTCGGCGTCACGGCCAAAAACACGCACACAAAAAAAGGAAAGAACGTTTTAAGTTTCAAGGCAAAAATATCTCTGAGAACAATAAACTTGTACAAGTAGTTTTGACGGTATGCGATCTAGTTTCACCGGTGGACAGTGTGTCATAACTCGAAGCATTCCGTGCTTCTGAGTATGTCTGAGATTGCAAAAGTATGTATGGAAGTCGATCTCTCCGATTTCGTTCGAAATTCGCGGCAACTAGGTTCCTACTAATTTTGGGTGTAAATCAATCGTGCGTGGCGCTTGGAAGGTTTCTGAAGGGAAACTCAAACAGGCATGCCCATCAAAAATAGTCGAAAATCGCATTCTATAATGGCCTACAACGAGTCACGCCAGAGGGTACACGGTCGAGCTGCGAACAAAATTCCATCAAGCCAACATTGCATCACCTTCGAAGAGTTCCTAGAGCAGTATGGCTTAGCCACGCTAGCATCCCAGAAACGAGGGACATCGCCCCTGATGCCACATGTGATCGTCTTGAGAGTAGCCAATTTGCAAGTGCAGATAAAACAGCCAGCTACGTGCTCATTTGGCACGAGCTCTGCACCGACAGATATTGGAACCCACCTTTTAGCACTGAAGATATGACTGCCATCTTCCTTGGGGGTTTTCTTGACATGACTGTGATATCAGAATACAAGAACACTCTGTGATGTCAGAATACCAGAATACTCTGTGATGTCAGAATACTAGAACACTCTGTGATGTCCGAGCAGAATACAAGAATACTCTGTGAAGTCAGAATACTAGAACACTCTGTGATGTCAGAATACTAGAACACTCTGTGATGTCAGAATACAAGAATACTGTGTGGCATCAGAATATACTTCGACGTATTGCTAATGCTGCTGTTTTCTCCTGTATCAGATGTCTTTTCCTGACTTTCAACCATGGTTGAATCAACTGTGCCTGGTGTGTGTCTCGACCTTGTTTAGAGTATGTGAATGAAATCAGTAGAAGCACCAAACTCGCTCCAATAAAAGAAGATGGATATCAGCTTGATTACCAACGTAAGTCCAGTGTGCGTATGTGTCTTTGTGTGTGTGTGTGTGTGTGTGTACATGTGTATGTGTGTGTGTGTGTGTGGGGGGGGGGGTGTCTGTGTGTCTGTGTGTGTCTGCATGCGCACGTGCCTTTGTGCGTGTGTGTGTGTGTATCTGCGTGTGTGTTTTTGAGTGGATTGATGTGTTTGTATGAGTGTGTAATACTGACCAACCACTAAAATCCCAATCCCTTGACATGACATGCAGAATCCCTTGATTTCTCTCAAAATCGCTAAATGGCCCAAAAAAACAGTGAAGAAGAGCCTTTCCCACCAAAAAAGGTTCGACAGCACAGACTCTTTGTACAGCACAGTTCGACCATGCAGTGCACTTCGATCAGTCGGGGCACGCCTAGCGCGCCTGCCAGTGCAGATGGTGCAGGCTAGGCTGGTCAGGTCTTAAAGGTGCGGAGCACAGTTCGAAGTGCGGGTGCGCACCGTGCATACTTTGAAGAAGAAAAACCCCCGGGGCATTCGAGGGCGAAACCATGGAGTTTTCAGAAACTAAGTGGATCAGACAAAAAGTGTGACTTTTCCGGGAGTTTGTTTGAAATGTGGATCAGCACATGAGGCGGGGGGGGGGGGGGGGGGGGGGGTTCACAGGAGTCCTTGTACCCTCTCCATATGAAGCTAAATTTCGGTCGAGAAACATGCACAATAGCGTGATCTGCATGCACAGTACTCTTATACTTAGTAACGTTGGGAGCATGCTATGAACTTTAATGCTGTGCGTCATGCGCTCGAAACTATTGCCTATTGCCACAAACTGTGATGGTCCAAACAAGAGCAGAAACAACCTCAGGCGTGCACACATCGTTGTTTGTGATCTGAAGTGTGCTACGCACATGCACAGCCACATTCCCAAGAAAAGCCCATGTTCCCACTGCAAGCTTGGCGCTCATGCCCGGGATCTCTTGATTTGCAGGCGAGCCTCATTTGCGCTGTGGGCCCACATTCACAACACCACGCCGTGAGTGTTGGCCAAGAGCACAGCGTGGAGAGTTGGACGGTTCAGATTATTTTGAAATGGCCAAGTTTGTCGCTAGTACCGCTGAGCCTCATTTGGCCAGTTTGCTCACTGGCTGTTGAGAGCCGAAAGTTGAAATTTGGAAGCACTGAAGGACCACCTAGAAATGATATCACCGTAAGAATCACACCCTTCACACCCTGACCTCAGTGAAGTGGCCAAACAAATTTCAGTGATTAACAGGATGGTCAGAGCATTGCTGAGGAGAGGCAAGATTCCGGGTTTCGAGTCCTGGTGACCTGGTGGTGGGGCTGGCGTTTGCCGTTTTGTTTCTCTCTCTTCAGGCAGTTCACTTCCCCGACTGATCCTTTTTAATTTTGAAGTTGTCTTAATCCTTAACACTTTTAGACTATCATCACTGGAGTCCAAAACCTGGCTGCACCTTCTAGTCCCATAGCTCAGTTGTTAGAGCATTGCTCATAACAAGCAAGGTCATGGGTTAAAGTCCTGGTGGGCCTGGTATTTTGTTCTCTTTTCGGACAGTTCACCTCTCCGGCTGATCCTTTGAATTTCAAGTTCTCCCGATACATTAAAGATGATTTTCTTTTTAACAGTACAGTCAGACCTCGCATTACCGCACACATTCGTTTTCCACAAAAAATATCCGGATAGGCGAGGAAACCGGAAAATCGAACACACATACTGTATATGTATCTGCATGGCATATGCTGTAAATTGGTAACCAACGATTTTCTTCCGGATGACGAGAGATCCGGATAAACGAGGACCGGTTAAGCTAGATCTGACTGTAGTGACTCTGGGATCACTGGTCGATCCTCTGGACAAGGGCAGATCACTGGTCGGTCCCCTGGACAAGGGCAGATCACTGGTCAGTCCCCTGGACAAGGGCAGATCACTGGCCGGTCCCCTGGACAAGGGCAGATCACTGGCCGGTCCTCTGGACAAGGGCAGATCACTAGCCGGTCCTCTGGACAAGGGCAGATCACTGGTCGGTCCTCTGGACAAGGGCAGATCACTGGCCGGTCCTCTGGACAAGGGCAGATCACTGGCCGGTCCTCTGGACAAGGGCAGATCACTGGTCGGTCTTCTGGACAAGGGCAGATCACTGGCCGGTCCTCTGGACAAGGGCAGATCACTGGTCGGTCCTCTGGACAAGGGCAGATCACTGGTCGGTCCCCTGGACAAGGGCAGATCACTGGTCGTTCCCCTGGACAAGGGCAGATCACTGGTCGGTCCCCTGAACAAGGGCAGATCACTAGTCGGTCCCCTGGACAAGGGCAGATCACTGGCCGGTCCTCTGGACAAGGGCAGATCACTGGTCGGTCCTCTGGACAAGGGCAGATCACTGGTCGGTCCTCTGGACAAGGGCAGATCACTGGTCGGTTCTCTGGACAAGGGCAGATCACTAGCCGGTCCTCTGGACAAGGGCAGATCACTGGTCGGTCCTCTGGACAAGGGCAGATCACTGGCCGGTCCTCTGGACAAGGGCAGATCACTGGTCGGTCCTCTGGACAAGGGCAGATCACTGGTCGGTCCTCTGGACAAGGGCAGATCACTGGTCGGTCCTCTGGACAAGGGCAGATCACAGGTCGGTCCTCTGGACAAGGGCAGATCACTGGTCGGTACTCTGGACAAGGGCAGATCACTGGCCGGTCCTCTGGACAAGGGCAGATCACTGGTCGGTACTCTGGACAAGGGCAGATTAACTGGTCGGTCCCCTGGACAAGGGCAGATCAGCATTATCTAAATGTGCAGGTCTGCTCAGGACATAATAACTCTCACTCGTACGTAAACCTCGCTAGTACGAGAAAAATCAAATCCCGCGCCGAAACAGCATCACTCCCATACAATTGTTGTTCCACACAACGTACTCCTATGCAAGGTAAACCTGGACATAACGCACGCTGCGGCGCGGTCCCCGACGTGCGCACTCTCGATGCAAAATAAATTCACGTGCATGGTACGTCTAAGCGGTAGCTGTAGCTAGGCAGTTTAGGCCAGTTTAGTCCTACATAACGTAAACCTCGACATAACGCACCCTACGGCGCGGTCCCCAACGTGCGCTCTCTCGATACAACGTAAATTCACGTGCGCGGTACAATCAAGCTGTAGCCGTAGCTAGCCAGTTTAGTCCTATTGTGCATATATTCTGTGGCATTCATGGGATCTGATGTCGATGGTGGTACAGTGCGTATATGTTTGCACGGTGCAATCCGCCTTGTAATACCCTTCATGTTGAGGTATATCTTGTATTTTACACACGGTTTTCTACATAACACAACTCTCGATATCACTTTTTTCGCATGGTCCCAGAGATTACGTTATATGGAGAGTAGACCTGTATTATAATTACTTGTCCTATTCATCGTGTTATTTCTCCTTCTCTGCTCATTTTGTATGATCAAAATCTCATTCTAACTGTACATAACGGAGACCCCCTCGATAGGCCTAAACGGCCTCTGGGGAATCCTAATGAAAATAAATGAAGTACTTGTAAATAAAATAAATGATGTCACCGGCATTTTGTTCATCGTTTCTTTCTGTTCCGATCCTCTTGTCTACTGCAGACTGCGATCCTGGTAAAAGTGCTAATCCTTTTCAGAACACCAGTATTGATGGCATTCTCCGTTGCCCCGGAGGAGAAACTTGGAAGTGTTCATACAAATACGGTATTTATTGTCCGCAAGCTGAGGATGAACACAAGCCTTGGCCAGTGTGTAAACAGAATCATCGTATGAACTATGCCGACTGCCTTCCGAAAAGACGTAATTTATTTGTTACTGTGATTGCATACGAAAGTGAGCGTGAAAGTGTGCGCTCGTGAAGGTGTGTATATGTGTGTGCACGCGCGTGTGCGCATGTGTGCTTGGGTGCAGGATTGCAGGAATGTGTATGTGCGCATGTGCGTAATCGTATGAATGTGTGTATGTGTGTGTGTGTGTGTGTGCGCGCGCGCATTCGCATGTGTGCTTGGGTGCAGGATTGCAGGAATGTGTATGTGCGCATGTGCGTAATCGTATGAATGTGTGTGTGTGTGCGCGCCCGCGCGCATGCGCATGTGTGCTTGGGCACAGGATTGAAGGAGTGTGTATGTGCGCATGTGCGTAATCGTACGAATGTGTGTGTGTGCACGCGCGTGTGCGCATGTGTGCTTGGGTTCAAGTTTGCAGGAGTGTGTATGTGCGCATGTGCGTAGTCGTATGAATGTGTGTGTGTGTGTGTGTGTGTGTGTGTGTGTGTGTGTGTGTGTGCGTGCGCGTGTGTGTGTGTGTGTGTGTGTGTGTGTGTGTGTGTGTGTGTGTGTGTGTGTGTGTGTGTGTGTGTGTGTGTGTGTGTGTGTGTGTGTGTGTGTGTGCCATCCTTATAGGCAATGCCGACTGCATTGAATAGGAAAGAAGTAAAACACTCAGAGAAAGGGAACGACAAAAGGGATAGAAGTGAATTACCACACCAAGCACAGAAGCCATATAATTTGTTTCGACCTTTCATTCCATTACTCTTCAGGTCGAATACAATAATATATAAGTGAGAAACCAGATCCACTGGTGCATGCGCTCTTCTGTACGTGATGGAATCTCGTTGCTATGGTGATGGAGCGGGAAATACGATTACTGAGCAATGAGTATATTGTACTGTCTTATAGTGCATTTAAAAATATATAGACGTGTGATTTCACAAAACCGTTAGGCCAGCATGTATACCACATCAAATCTGTGACCACTTTGTGCATAAAAAATTCGAAGCCCGCAATATGCGTGTTAAAACAAAATGGCGTCACGATTTATTGAAAGTGGTATAGTTGGTGGAACGAGTGTTCAAAACCTTTTGAACTTCATACTGTTCGTCTTCTTTTTGACATGCTCTCTTTCCATCATCCTTAGCTTTTGTTTGTTGTGAGCTGTTTTGGCTTTCTCCTATACCTCTGGGTGATGCCAAGTGATGGTTTTGATAGGCTGGCGATTGCTGTGAGCGAGAGTTTGCCAGTCGGCATCGTCCTCGCTATAGCGATGAAAATACTAGTTACTGCGTACCTGGCAGATATCACAACACAGCTATAGCGGGATTCACAGAAGCTTTTTGGCGATGCGACACGCGATGCGACAGGCGCGAAACCGGGAAAACCCCAAATCGCAGCCATGTCGCACTCCACGCAACTGCCGCAACTGGGCCATCACAGGCCATCGCCGAAGTTGAACTTGGCTCTACTTTTGCGATGCGATGCGATGCGACAAGCGATTTGGCGTACGATTTTGACCTTTTCTACAGCAAAGTTGTACAAAGGTTCAAGAGTTGCCTATAAATTTGTACAAGTTGTATCAAACCGCGCGAATATCATGGTGACGTAGGCAAATCAGCAAGATGTTGTCGCATCACTGACTTCTTCTGTGAATGGTATTTCGCGAGTTCGCATCGCACGCATCCGTCGCAGATCGCGTCGCATCGCGTGTCGCATCGCAAGAAAATCTTCTGTGAATCCAGCTTTAGCGTCCAGGAGCAAAGGAATCTTGGGTTTTCACTGGAATCTAGTTCCTCCAGCGTCGTGTAGCCCACCGTCAGTGAATGGCCGTCCAGAAAGGTTGAACCTGGTCTTCTGTAGCATCTCGCAGTCCTGTGAGGCACACCGTGTACGCCTGCCATGTATTGTACAAATAAAACTCATGCAGTAGTGGACTCTACAGTGATGAGTCTCAGCCTGTATGCTGCAAAAGACACAGGAAATGTGACTGGTGTCTGTACACTGGACGCCAACACCCCAGTCTTCTCCTGCAGGAATTGTTTGACATTGACATTATGGAGTGGGTCGACATTGACCTGGTTTGGCAGCTATCGTAATAGTATCTGCCTGGTTGGATGTAGCAGGTTGGCGTTTGCTTGTCGTCCAGTCCGGAATTTTCTTGTAACTCACGGTGGAGTACGCGCAGGGTTTGTCACAACCTACCGCCACTGCTGACGGTGGCGACTGGTTCGTCAATGGCGGTGACCAGGCTGACTGACCAGCTTCAAGACAGCGGCCTCGTTGTCAACCCAGCCCAAAGGCAGACTTTATCGTTTCAGCCTCAGCACCATGTTAACGATGCCCTAGTGACTGTGTGTCATGGAT